GCTACATTATTATGATAGAGCCTCGGGTTGCTCGTCAAAATACTATTATGTTTGTGGTATCAGGTTAATGCTTCAACACTTTTTGTATGTTGGATCGAGTTGTGTGGCACAACATATGTGTTATAAATTTTGGTGTTGACTTGAGATATTGTCCTCCTTTGTCGTTTGGCTATGTTGTTCCCCTATATTGTTTTATCTCCGTTGATTTAAGCAGCCGAGAAAGGTTTTTGGTTGTTCTTATTCAAGAAATGTGGTTATTTCTCCCTTTACTTTTATTCGTCTTTAATCATGTTATTATTATTGTTCTTTCTCTTGCTATTTTTATTATTTATTAAGTGTACAGATTTATATAGTAAGTGTGTTATCATAGCCTCGTCACTACCTCGTCGAGGTTAGGCTCGATAGTTATTGAGTATATTGGATCGGTTGTAATCATACTACACTTCTGCATTTCTTGTGCAGATTCTGGTGTGGGACCTAGCAGTGTTCATAATGGAGCACAACTTGGATTTTAGGGAGACCTGAGGTAGTGCTGCATTCATGTTCGCAAACTCCGGAGTCACCTTCAATCTCCATATTATTGTTTCTTGTATCAGACAGTATTACATTTCATTCACATTTTGTATTTGGCACTCTTAGTAACTCATGTACTCAGTGACATTAGTCTTGTAAGGTTATTAGATGGTTGTATTGCTTTAGACTTGTTATGTAATTTACGAGTTTTACTTTATTTACGTAATTAAAATATTTAATGTTAATTTTATATCTCTTATTATTATTAAGTGTTGGCTTGCCTAGCAAGTAGTATTATGTGCCATCACGATCCCTTGGTTGGAATTTTGGATCGTGACATTTTCAGCAAACATGTTAATAGCAAAACTTCTATATGAACTTAGCTACTGAAAATTCTATAGGCAGCAAAGACAAAATATCAAGGAGGAAGCATGGAAACAAATATACAACTCAGCCATGAATCAGTCTAACAACTTTCTTCTGGGTTGAATGCAGCTCTATTACATAGAAATAGTAATTTTGCTCTTTGCTACTATCAATGTCAGACACAAATCACTATCCTACTTCCCTACTTTATAAAATTTCAGATATAGTGATTGTTCCTCCACAGTTACAAATAGTGTAAAAATGAACACGAAACAAACCACATCCACGTCAAGTAGACTTATGCCTAGAAAAGCCTCAAACATGTCCATGGTCTTGGTACCTTCAGAAAAATCATGTTTGCACTCAGTCACCCGTGAAGTAGAAAGGTGCATGCCTAGGAGAGTCGAAGCACATTTACAAAGTTTTGGAAGTTCCAAAGCAACTCCCCTTTTACTACAAAGTTAAGCAAAAACATAGCACCAGAAGAACAGCATCAGAGAAATAATAAGATCTCTAACATTCAAAATAAACCTTGGCAAACTCCACTCCTAGGGAACTGCTCCCACTTATGCCACGAATATAATAGAGCTAAATTACTCAAATACGATAAAAAACTTGATATCTAAACCTGCAAACTAGTCATATTGGACTTGGGGTAGGGGAAACCATCTTGAATGTTATCATCAGTGAAGTGATCAACTTATTTTGAACCAAATGTAGATTCAGCTTGACTTTAAATTACTATATTAATATCCTTTTGTTTATAAACAATGTTCTCACCCAAATGAGAACATGCTTCCATAAAGGTTCAGTAAAGATTAACAAAAATTCAAACCTCCCAATAAAACTAATTATCCCCAAAAAGTAGCCATTTGCTAATGAAGCCCAACAAAGATTGGTTTAATAACCTTGAGCTAATGGTTCCAAGAGATCAACCATTAAGGGAGCATAATGTAACAAACTACAATAATTGAACTACAAGAGAGATTTCATGAAATGACTAATCTATTCACTCTACATTAACCGAGAAGTCTATGCTTAACAACCAAATAAAGGGATTTGGGGAAAGATGGAGGAGATGGATTAGAGTTGTATTTCCACTATTAGATTCTATGTTCTTCTTAATGGTAGCCCCTTTGGCTTTTTGTAGTTCGAGAAGTCTCAATCAAGAGGACCTATTATCCGCCATGTTTTAGATTCTTGTGATGGAAGCTCTGAGTAAGATGATGGATAGGGCGGTAGGTGGAGGATTTTGAGAGGCTTCACGGCATTGATCGGGGAGAAATGTAGTGTAAGAGTTACACACTTGGTCTTTGCCAATGACACATTAGTTTTTTCTGATTCATATATGCATGAGCTGTCTTTCTTGAAGCAGGTGTTGGTGTGGTTCCAAATTGTGTCAGGGTCCAAAATCATCCACAGTAAGTGTTAGATTTTACCAGCGGGCTAGGTAGCTAACATCAATGAGTAAGCACAAGTGTTCAATTATAAGGTAGGGTCTTTACCTACCACCTACTTAGGTTTGCATGTGGGTGCTTCGCACAAGGATATTGTAATATGGAATCATGTTATAAGTAGGGTTAAAAGAAGGCTAGCATGGCAAAAGTAGGGTGAAAAAGAAGTACTCATTAAGAGCACTTTATCCCTCTTCTTACTATTTACCGTTGATGCAAGCACTAGTAAGAGTCATGGAAAAATTGGAAAGGCTTCAGGGAAATTCTTACGAGATACGGCGGATGACACCAAAAAGATCCACTCGGTGAATTGGGAAGTTGTTACAATGCCAAAAAAAAGGGTGGATTGGGGTGAAAGATCTTAAGAGTATCAACAGAGCTTTGTTGAGGAAGTGACTATGGAGATTATGTTTGGAGGAGCACGCATGATGGAGGGAAGTAGTAGAGAAGTATAATTCAATGGAAGGGGGATGGAGGACTAAAGCCATCACAATTCCATTTGGGTGCAGTGGAGGAGAATAATGAAGGGGTGGAAAATTTCAGTGGTCATATTAGCTTTAGGGTTGGCGATAGGAGAAGAATTAGCTTTTGGAATCACAAGTGGTGTTGTGAGAAATCTTTGAGGATTTTATTCCCTAATGTGCACAGAGTTCTGAATCAAAAGAATTTGATAGTCCTCTCAATTTTACATGGAGCATGAGGGAGAAGTACTTTGGGACCTCACGTTTAGGATAAACATGCAAGATTGGAAGGTGGGTGAGTTTCAAAGGTTGTTGGAATTACTCTACAGGCAAAGCAGGCCATACTTCAACACTGACTCATGGAGATGGGCGTTGAGGAGTAACGGTTTGTTCGCAGTCAAATCTTTCTTCCATAGTAAAGGCACACTTTCCATATTCTTTGATTTGGATACCTAGGAAAGTGTGCTTTTTCGCGTGGTTGGCAGCAAGGGGAGTGATTCTAACAAGCGAAAATCTGAGGAAGAAAAACAGTAGTCATGTCAATTGGTGTTATATGTATAAATGTTCAGGTGAAAAAGTTGATCATCCATTGGTGCATCGCAAAGTGGCATCGAGTTTGTGGAGGGTGTTTTGAATTTCTTTGGCATTCAATGGGTGATGGCAAGCACAGTTAGGATGGTAGATGTAGGGCGAAAAGACAAAAGCCAAGGAAAATTGTTCCGTTAGCTCTTATGTAAGTCGTGTAGAAAGAGAAAAATAAGAGAACTTTTGAAGGGATTGAGAATGATTTTGTTCATTTAAGGAGTAGCTTTATGTCTTTGATTGCTTTCTGATGCACCCTTAAAATTCATATTTGTATAGATGATTGGGTGTTCTGTAGAGAATGTTTTGTTGTAGACACTCTACTTTTTGGTATACCTCTTGTATACAGGAATATTTCCATTGCTAATAATATTATTTACCTTATCAAAATAAAAAGGAAATCTTACGGGAACGTACCGAAAAAAGACAATATTTACCAAAATTTCGTTATACTACCAAAAATAGCCAAAAAATACAATTACCAATGATATACAATATTAAAAGAACATAGGCAAAAAAAATTCTTAATGTGCATTGTACGATTCATTGAAAATACATAGATAAGACAATATACAAAATTTGACAATTTTGAAGGTGAATTAGACTACTTTGGAGTCAAAATTCACTACCAGTGATACACAATATTTAAAAAATTAGGCAAAAAAAAAAAATTCAATGGGCATAGGTTGAATTAGTTGAAACATACAGATGAGGCAATAAATAAAAATTGAGCAAGATTGGAGATGATTTGGGCTGATTTGACATCAAAACTCAGTTAAAATCGAGTTTAAAAATTCGTCAGCAATATATGTATCAAATATATATCACACGTGTATCCACACATACGTACACATAGATATACATTTGATACACATGATAGATACTACACAAATGATACACATTCATCTTTTTCCATGTTCTTCTACTTCGAATTTTAAATTCAAACCACCTTAACAGTCCACTAAATCATCCCAAAACTAAGATTCAAACTCCTATTCCAAGAACACCTACTCAAAAGAAAGTAAAATATTTAACCTTTTTTGGTTGCAAATAGCTAATTGGCTAACATTGATAGAATTTAACTAATATTAGTAATATTTTATGAATTTGCTATAATATGTATTAATTTACTTATGGACGGACATAACTGGTAATTTCCCCCAACAAACCAAATAAATGAAAATAAAACCTAACCACGGATGCAAATCAGAAATTCTATTTGCTGTAGTTCACTGCGATGACTCCTTCCCTGGATAATTGGTCCCACCGCTCCAATATCAGCCATATTATAAATAAGACATCTCTGAAGTGAAGGACCTGAAGAACAACTCCTCTGGCCTTCAATATGGAAATTACCTACGTCTAAGCTAGAATGGAAGAAACTGCAAGTGCACCTACCATACCAGAATTGCACCCCCCAAGTCAGATGCACTCGTCTTGCTCAGCCATTATATGTCACGCCTGAACTTTCAACTAAGAAAAGCATAAAAGAAAAACATAGGGCATTAAAATTGAAGTTAACGAGGTCCGAGCTTTCTAAAAATTCATTTGTTTGTCAATGTCCATGGCATATAACTAACTTCTGTTGCTTCACTGCATATAAGTTTTTGGACTGGTCAAAGGATAAAAGAAGTTGATGCATGAATCAGCACCTTCCAAATTATATTCCTGAGCTAAATAATGCCACCAGAACATCTGCTTGTAAAATATCTAAACCAAAACAAGAATTGACTTTGCTGCAACTACAATCAATTGCCAAATAACATTATCATCAAGTCCTTTTTCCTTTTTCTTTTTTGGGAAGGTGGGGGAGGGGACAATATATCATTGCTACTTTATATTTACACAACAAAATGAACATATAAAAGGTCATTTTGAGAGCAAAAAAGCTACCGAACTTCTCCATCCTCACCAAATTCCCCATCTTTATGATCCTCATTGTCACCATCCCTAAGAGAACCACTCCGATGATCTCGCTTTTGTTTCTTATGCTGGCCCTCAGAATTAACTTCAGAACTCCACACGTGCTGGTCGACCTATTACATCAAAGCTCTATGCATTAGAAAGTTTCTCCCTAATCTTCAGATATTTTCAAAGATGATATCAGACCTGTTTTGACTTCTTATGATCATTATCATGTCTGTAAGAATTTCTTGAATGATCTTTCTCATTTTCATTGTCATCAAAGGAACTCATATGCCGCTTGCGGTGTTTCTTATCTCTGTCACTTCCTAACCTTTTGATCTCCTCGAAACTGTATGTATCAGCCTTCTCGCTGTCTGTGCCATCTTTCTTGGTTCTTTCCCTCTCTTTTCTGCTTTTATCCCCTCTGTCTTTATCCCTTCTATGCTTTTCCTTCTTCTTTTCTCTATCTTTCCTTTCCTTCTCTTTTCTTGCCTGCAGAGCCATAATTCAACGCTAGTCAGCTTACCTTGGATGCTTTGACTACATCTATGACCAAGATGTATATACTGATTTGTTAATAGGCCTAATTTTTGGGTTTATGTCGTATACATAGAGTATGAGAATCCTTTGCTATTACACGCAATATCTTACAAATAAAATATTAGGCGTTTATAAAGAAGTAATTTTTTATTTGTTTCAGTTCAATAACTTAAATTAACCGAATATATCCTTTTTATGTCGCAATATACATTTATTTGTTGTATCTCAGCACCCGTATCCGCACTCGGAATACCCCCAAATCCAAATATTTATGTAATGCAGAATCTGACCTCTAGATCCCCACCCGTACCGGATACCCACATATGAGTCCAAGACACATAGGTTTAAAGAGAACTCCTTAGAATCTTATGGTTCAATAAGGGTGAATCTAAAATTTTCAGAAAGAAAATAGAAGACAATCCATATCAACCAATATCACATCCATACCACATCTATAACCCAAAATACGAAAGCGAGAGGAGAATAAGGGTTTGTAGTAAGTCAAGTACCTTATCCTCTTGCCGCTTCCGCTCCTTCTCTTTTGCCTTTTCTTTTAGTTCACTAATGAATTTGTCAAATATTTCCAGAAGAAAGCTCTCTTCGCCCATTATTCTGTAAAATAATAACAGCAAAAATAATCCATTCAATGTTACGACATAATGAGAATGTGAGAGTATGAGTAAAGAAGACTATTAAATATCAAAAGCATTTTGTTACAGCAAAAGAGGATAGACAAGTTAAAAGTAGAGATCATAATAATTACTTCATTGGGATCTAGAAACAATCCACAAATATCAGAAATGAAAAAACTAGTAACTGCTAGGTATTAAACTCTCGGTGTTGAAACAACTAATAATTGATATCAACCCATTTCCTTTGAGCGACAAGTAATTAAAAGTGATTTCGTGAAATGGTAATTCACGCTATACTATAAAAGACATAGCCAACTTAAACGTTGAGGAACATAAGCAACATATTATTCATCATATTGACTATTCTAAGTTATTTTTTAGAAGTATGTGAATTAATGGGATTAGAATATTGGAGTTAGTTTTTGAAAATAATATCAATTATCAGAGTTTCCAAAGATATGATCCTTGCAGTAATGATTACTAATTCCAGATCAATAAAAGCCAAAGTAGCTCCGTGCCTATCTCCGAAGATGGATTTGCAATCCTCCCATTTTGATGATGCAGTAATTTCCTGCAATCAGAGCAAAATAGATATACTGTTTTAAGGAAAACGTCATGGGATCGTTGCAATGTGAGAGATTATAAACTGTTTACTATACCTTTGATGTATGCAGAAGTTCATAGAATTCATCTGCTAGACGTTTACGTCTTTTAGCTTCTTTTTCTTCTCTCTCCCTGGCCCTTTCCAGTAACTCTTCAAAGACAAACTGTTTGGATGAAACAAGCAAATTCAATACTCAATGACTCGGCATGTCCAAAAGCATAGAGCAGAAAGTTTTGAAAGGAAGCATGGCAGAAGATGCAACATAGTCCGTGTATGACTTCTTATTCCTCCATTTGGAAAGGCAAGGGGGATAAGTTCTTTAAAAGTACTATTATCATCTTTTTGGAGTAATCCCTCATATAATATGGCTATTTTTTAACAAAGTACCTTACAAAGGTTTTGAAATGTTAAAAGTTTACCGTAAGCATACAAGAAGCCAACCAACTGTCTAAGCATAAGTCCTCGATAAGATACCTTGCAATTCCCGAGTACATAGATTATAGGTTTAAACCATGAACATAAAGAATTTCCAACACCCAAATGATATTTGAAGAATGAGAATATCCCCATTACAAAAATACAAAATAATTTTGATATCATCCAGTTATGTTGTTTCACCAAATTTGTAGAGTAAAACTCTAACCCTCTATAGCTATTACTTAATGTACATCTAACCATAAAAAACAGAAACAAGGCAAACTGCTTTGCATTAAGCAACTTGAGATATGTGCTGTAGGTGTAATATTAAGCACCGCTGTCCAGGAAAGAAATAAAGTAACTATGGGAATGGTCGCACGACAATAGAAGCAAAAACCTTCCAGCATTAGCGGATGACATTAAAACTAGCAAGTCCAATGACCCACTCTTCTGCAGCTCTTTTCAGGAAATAGCCTTCAGTAAAAGCAGAAACTAACACCAAATGTTGGATCAACGTGGTCCTCGCCTTTTTGCTAGAAGGTTTCAGGTTTACTTGTTAACCGACGCACAAGTCTTCTTTTAACTCCATTATCAAAAGATGCAAAATTTTATACGGTATAAGTTGTGGGCTTGTGGCTGATACTAATGAAAAATGACACTAAGCCCAGCTGACTGACGACCTAGGAGTTGCCAATTTAGCTTTCATAAAGTGACCAGCTTCCAATGAAACATAACATGGAAGTACCCCTTACGCCTTACCACTCAGTCCAATCAACTTACTCAGCACCTCACCAAACACAAAAAGGAGACAAATATATACAGATTTATATAGTGAAAGAGCGCTCTTTAGTTTCACTTAAAACTCAATTCTAACAAAAGTTCGATGTGGAACAGAATATACAGTGTCTTAGCCATAATTAGACCTTTAAGTTGGTATCTGATATTGGTGGAGAGCTAATATCCTTTGAAATTGCAACCTTAAAATCTTCAAGCGTCCAGGTTGATGTCAGTCCTATCTGAAAACAGAGGCTCAGCAAAAATATTAGGTACTAGCCAAAGCACCGCAGTGGTTAAATATGAAGGGTAATGGTTACCTCAGCCATCCTAATTGCATCTCTAATGCGTGACTTGTCATCAAGATACTGCAGCAAGATAACCAAAATAGGATATTATATGGAGCCTTGTCCATGCATTTGAGTTACCATTAAGTCTATAAATAACAAGCAGGATGATGGCATGAAATTTTTGTCATGAATACATCATTTCTCCATTTGTTAGGACATCTGAAATACCACAACGCAGTTGACTTGATTGCATTGATCAGGTTGAATTTGAAGGCAAAATCAAGCACCACAGTTTGGATAAAAGCAAAAATTATTGAACCGTATCTCTGTTAACAAGAATCAGTTCTGTACGTTAACAGTAATACAAACTTTAAGCATAGAAGTCGGCATCTTTATCTCAAAAGAAAAAAAAGGATGTCAACATCTGACTATATTTCGAAGGCGCATCTAAGAAATTATGACAAAATTCAATCATTGAAGGAGAGTGGGAACATGATCATTATTATGCTGAGGATACCAGCATGGACCTCTTTCATCAAGCAAAGAGATAAATACGGATAAATCTGATCATTAACTTGAATTCTTTTAGGAAGGGGCAGAAAATAAAAGAATATATCTTTTAGTTAGTAGAAGTGTCTAGCCAAAGGCCAAAAGAGGCTTGAGTTTAGGAACTTGGTTTCTAAGTGAAATTTCTCTAGTGGGAAGTAGTTATTGGTTACCTCCAAATCCCAAGGAAATATGGCCTCCATACAAATGAGTGAATGCAAAGTAAAAAGCAATAATCATGTGAGACATAAAATTCATCTAGCAGGTTAACCTTTTTTTTTCCCCTATTGCGTCTTATAGAATAGGAAATGAAACATCTAATCATTTCCGAGAGAATAACTCTAGTCCAAATTCTCCTTCCATTTCTTTACCAATGGTTTTCTTTTTCTTTGATAAGGAGTTTAAGATTGGTAACTGCCTCTCATGAATTCATAATGCTTTGACCCTAGATGTTACCAATATAACGCATTCTTCATCTCTTTAGAAGTGTAAATGTTATACAATTTGGCTATATGATAGCTTAATAATTCCATAACCTTTGGATTACAATTGATGTTTGACAGTTAACATCGCCTTATAGAAAGCAAGTCTTCTCACATGTATACTCCTTTCTTATCCACACCCAGCCGTTGTCTTTTGATATATCAAATTTTTTTTTTAAACTTGTATCTAATAAGCATTTTGGGAAGTATGTAAGATCCTAAACCCTTTTTCCTGCAAAGATTCTTCTGTGTTGGGAATTGCATAAAAAGAACTTCCCAAAATTTCTAGGGACTTGAGGACTTCAAAAACTGCTATTGAAATCAACTTTTCAAGGTTCTTCAGATAATCCAAAATACAGCAATTATCCTCCCAATGAACAAATGACAGACTTTGACAAGCATGCTAGCCGAACATATCTTCTTTAAGTAAGGCCTCCTTTTGTTAAAGAAATTTTCTTTTTTGATGAGGTAAGATTTTATTAGAAAAAACAGTATCAAGCTGATACTGTTTCTTTGTAAGATTCCTTTTGTTAAAGCAATTATTCTAACCCATTCACAATGACATTTCTTTTTGACACGCATGCTAGTCAAACATATTTTCAGTAACTAAGGCCCATTTACAATGATATTTCAAAAGCAAAATTTCTCCCAACAGACACTATGCACCTACAGGTGCGCTTGCGTAACAAGATAACGTTTCCATACAATAGGGTGGAGGAGAGAGTTGTTGAAACATTGTACAAGAACTTGCAGTTCTTCCAGTATGCAACTACTTGTAATGCTAAGCTAGAGTGCCATCCAAAGATGTGCTAAGGTGCATCATTCAGGTGATCATATCATCAGAAATGACAACTAAATATCAATGGATCACTCTAAGTACTAGTAACCTTCTACTAAATATTAATGCATCACCCAAAATACACGTAACGCTGTAGTTTATGTTTTCTTTAAGAAAGCCTTCCCTCTAGTTTATGCTTCTCAAGAAAAGAGCAAAGTTTATATCATGAAGCTTGCACTAGTAGAATCTGTCGGAGATTCTGTCTCTGATAGAAGAGCAAACAGAGAAGATCGTGGAGGCATGTCAGGCTTCAACTGGTAATTGACTAAAATGCTTCAGATTGAAAATTTTCTAACGGCTGATTTAATAAATCCCGTTACAAACTGTAGTTGACAGATATATCACCAATTTAGTCCTTGCTTGCTTTAAAAAATCAATTTGGTTGTTTGGCACCATGATCTCTGCAGAACACTCAGTTTGTAAATTCAATCTGTGTTTGTCTAGTGGAAAGAATATGAAAACCTTATAAAAAGAAAATCTGTGTGCACACCTTTTCACATAGCAATTGTGCCACAAAAGTATAGTCCTTTTTCTCTAACCTCTAAATTCCATATCCTACAATATTATTTCCATCAGTACCTCCTTTTCCTCTTTGATATTAGGCCGAACTAAGCATGATTTGGTAATACTAATCAACAATAAAAAACAAAATGCTATCATCCACAGAAATTCACATGAAACATATCTCCCACGCCATAAGAAACTTCACCAATACATTTGTGAGCCAATGTACTACTTAGAGAGATATTAGCAACCTATGTTCACCTGTTTCTCCAGCTCATCAAAAACATCTTGAAATAAGTCTTTTGCTTTTGGCCCTGAGGTATTTGATGAGACAGCCAGATATGCAGGTAAATCTTTGACCTGAAAGCACAAAAAATAAAGAAGGAAATTCTTGGTTATGAAATTCAAAAAGAACACAAAACAAAAAGGAAATTAATGAATATAATCACTCTCAGGGAAAGTAAGAAAGAATTAATAACCTTAATGCAATAATCACGCCAGTTAGTTTTTGCATTAAGTATTCCCGCAGCAACATGCTCTTCCATCAGTTTTCGGAACTCATCACGATTTTTACGTTCTGCTTTCCTCATTTCATCCTATTTGAATCCGTGGTATATGTTCAGTAAGAAAGAGATAAAACGAAGTCTCAAAAGGTAAACTTAATGGAAAACCCCAGAGTCCAATTAACAATATACCATCCGCAGTTTCCTGTGCTCCTCCTCTTCCCTCTCTAAATCACGTATATATTCCTAATGTACAGAAAAGCAACAAGAAAAAAAAAAGGTTGCAACATAACTTCAATCCTGGTGCTTAAAAAATGAGATGTTAAAAAAAAATTGTGTAAGAAAAATAAGAACTACCTGGAAAATCTCCAAACGGTCAATTTTCTCAAGGCAAGAGCATCTTTCATCATCTTCTAAGCGGTCCTGAACTTTCCGCCACTGGCTGCTGGCCTGAACAAAAGAAGTCAGCAACAAAAGAAAGCTCTACCTCCTGGAAATGGAAAAACATAATATAGGAACTGATGCTAATTCCACTAGGACAAATACCTTAATAAAGTCACAGGATTTTAAAAATTCTAAATACTCCACTCGGTTGCGCTTCTGCTCCTCCAATGCCCTTGCACGCTCCTAAAAATGGTTCAGTACAAAGTAATAAGATAAAATTTCTCTTTAAAGCAGACCACTTCTTCTATTTTTTGGGGCGAAAGGGAGCAGCAGAGGGAGGGAGAAAGAAGCGTTTCATGGTTTCGATTCAAGCAAAATTACACTCAATACAGGAAAGACGGAAGAGTGAAGATAAGAAAGTGTGTGCAAAATACCAATAAAGTCTGTTTAAATTGGAATCCATTGGTGAACAAATTTAAAATGCTGTCGCCCCTTGAGAACCCATTTAAAATTTATTCAATGAACACTAGATTTTAAGTTGAAACTTTAAAAACACTTATTTTTTCCCTCTTTATACCAAAAAAAAGGGTAACAAATTAAAAGACGTTTTGCAGAGGGAATGGAATGAATATTGTTAAGGTAATGAACCGAGAACCTAACTCAATTCTGAAAGCTAAGGTGGGGAGAATTGTCCAAGACCATATAAGGAAACTACAGTCCATACACCTAACTGATGAGGGATTCTAACACATTAATCACATGCCCAAGACTGGACAGAGCATCAAGTAACCTACGTGGGTAATATTGAATAGTCTAGCATCAGGATAGGTCTGCCTCTTAAACCATGTTTAAGATTGTCCAAGACCATATAAAGGAAACTACTACCCATAAGCCGAACCGATGTGGGATTCTAACACATAAATTGCACACCCAAGACTGGACACTTTTGGGGTGTTGAGTAACCTTGGTGGGCTAACATTGAATAGTCTAGCATCAGAATAAATCTGCCTCTAATACCATGTTTAAGAAAATGGACCTTGTGGCTTGTGCCTAACTCAACATGAAAGGCTAACTCAATTAGTGAGGCTTGTCCAAGATCATACAAGGAAATTACAGCCTGCAACTTAACCAATGCTGGATTCTAACAAATACAAGCAGAGAAGAATTGATCGACGCAAGGGCAATCCAAAACTTCTTGTAAGTGCCTTCCTTTACTAACTATGTGGAAGAAGATTCACCTTTTTCTCAAGTTCCTCCATATAATCTTCAAAAAGGTCCTCACGATCTTTTGCTCGTTCAACAGCTTTAAAACGTTCATCATGTTCAAATATGGAGATTGCCTTACTGAATAACCAATAGCAGATAGTTAGTGGATCAAACTGAACTTGCACAAATGATGGAGCAAATTCAAGGTACACAAAAAATACAAACAATGATCAAGAACAGAAAACCAGCAGCATACAACTTAGCATTACAAATGAAAGACAAACCTCCATCTTGTAGATGGTGCCAGCTCCTTGCACTCCTGTGGAAGATTGAAAAATAACAGCAATTGTTGTGAAAATTATCAAATCGTTTTTTAAATAAGTGAAATATACCAAGTGTCTTACACATTCAGATATATCAAATGGAAGAAACTCACAAAAGAAAATCATAAAAAGAACATTTCGCTTACTTCTAACATTATCCTGAAATCTTCCCGAGCTTTCTTCTGTTTAATACGTCTCTCTTCAGCTTCCAGTTTTTTCTTATGGCTTAGATACTGGAACAGAACACAGAACTTACATATTAAGCTATAGATCTTATCTTTTTTTAAGTACAGTATGCTGAAACATTGAAGCAGCAATTGACCCATTCCAGATATTTGTTATGTAACCAAAACATCAACTGGAAAGGGAAAATTTTCCATCAACTGCATCATCATCAAATGCCTACTAGGAGAGATACCTCATTAAAAGCTTGCTTCCGCTCACCAAGAGATTTTAGAGCACCATATCTCCGGTCATTGATTATTGCTCTCATTGCCTGACAAATACAATTCATATCAAATGATCTTCCTCAATTATTCCGCATGCACAAAANGGCATGCACAAAACAAAGCAAGTAACAAACCTGATCCCACGTCCAGTCAGACCCAATATTTGCAGACTCCAGAAGAATTTTGAATGCACTCTTTGCCTCCTGAATTTAGCAGCCAAGAGTTGAAGACAATATGCAAAAGGATATCATAACATGCAACGTAAGCAATAACTCAAGGCAATAAAGCTCAGATACTTAAACAGGAGAATAGGAGTAAGAGAAATTTTCAGAACATACAACCAAGGGAGAAAAACGGAAGAACAATTAAATTTACCGCTTTGCTCTCATAAACTAATGGTCCCGGCTCAACTGTTTTCTCTTCTGATGGAGTAGCACTTCCTGTTTCAGATACCGTAGCATCTTTCTTAACTTCCTGCATTTAAGGCGCAACATCAAGCACAAAGTACAAAAGAGAAAAACTCATCGGAGCATAATCTTCACCTGTTAGCAATTGACAAACAACTGCAGTACATTGTTGGATCAACATCCAGCTAATAAAAGCTTTCTTAGGGTTTTAACCACTAGTACTTACCTAATCACATAATTATTTCAAAAAGGCAAAGTACCTCCGTATTTTCCAGAGAAACTCCATCTTCATACACTACTGAGTCCTGAGCTGAAGGAAACTCAGAACTAGTCCTGCAAAAATTGAAGTCCAAATATGATAGCAACACAAGCCAGAGGCAAATTCAATCTGAAAGATATGAATCTTTCTAGCATACACTGGTGTTGCAACAGAATTTTCCAAGGTTACTGCTGTTCCATTTTTCTCTGAAGTAGCAACAGCTGGCGAGGCAGGTTCCAAAGAATTCTGCATTTCGACTGCACCAATCGTCAGGGAAGAAATATTACCAGATAAACTTGATGATTCTGAAGCCACAATAGTTGGTAAGTTAGAAACTGGTGCCACAGCAATTGGGCTTGACATAGCTCCTTGTGCTGAGACTGGTGAACCATTTGCACTGAGGGGTGATGTTTTCACACCAGAAATGGATCCAAAATCAGAAGCGTGTGAAATACTGTCCCTTTCTTTTCCCAATCCCTTGACTAAATCCACTTTCATACTCTGACGAGCCAACTGTAGATGCATAAATAATAGATTTTTGAGAAACAGATACAACAAAACAGAATATTTTCCTCTTTTTTTATCATGCAATTTAAAGCAATGAAAAATCCATATTGGATTTGAAATTTAATATCACCTTGACTTCATCAGGCATTTTCCATTTTGACTTTCTAGTAACCTTGTTGTAGTAATACCTGTAGAGAATAATCAAAGCAATCAGCATTATGCATAAATAAGACACAAAAGTAAAGACCAACTAGAACAAGGACAAGAAGAACCTATATAAGTTACACACTTTTTTCCCTGAGGACTTGTAAATTCTCTCCAGTCAGTTGATGCATCCGCCCTCTGTCCCCAATGAAAACAGAATGGAAGCAGGTCAAGTCAAAAAGCTGAACATACCGTATCTCAGGAATAGATATCAGTAACTTCCAGCTGTACAGTCTAGGATGGAACATGGAAGCATGCGTGCAGTGGGTCAAAATAACATATGCATCAAGAAAGACAGCCCTCAAACAAGCTATAATCAAAAACCAAAGAAAACATGCAAATTCAAATGTTGAATAAGAAAACACTGACATTAACACCAGTCGGATGTTATTGATATCCTCTGCCAAACTTCAAAAGAAAAAAAGGAAAAGGCCCAAATTGCCCTTGTCGTTTGTGAAATGGTCTACTTTTACCCTCCTTTAAAGTTGGGTCAATCATACCCTCGCCATTACAAAACTGGCACACATTTGCCCTTGTTTTCAATTCAGCTAACAGAATCATTAGAAAAGAAAATGATCATATTTACACATGTACTTTAGGAAATTGTTAATATTTATCCCAAGTTTAATGTTTGGGCTAATATAGGTCCAGACAGTTTACGTTTGCCCTCCACTTGAAAGTTGCCCTTGACCAAATTGGGTAGGGGAAGTAGGCAGTGGGCCATGGAGGGGGAGGTTGGTCAGGG